CTAGAATTTGTAAATTATAGGTTTAACTGAAGCAATAATAACGAAACAATATTTCCATTTATTTAGGTCTATTCACAGATAATTGTTATACAGTTCTGTCAATGAACCCATCGTAAATTAAAACTAAATATGTTATATTTTGAACCTGAACACATCTTATGAGCACGAGGATTAAAGTGTTATTTCAGTTATTCTTAGGTTCCAGGTATATATTTTTCTACTTTTGAACTACTGGCCAGAGGGTAGTCAGGCAGCAAGCAACGTCCAAATAAAGGTATTACTTTTCACCTTTATAATGTGCCCACACCTGATAATGCAGAGCGTAATTCAACATCATCGCGTTTCGAACCTTAAATCATTCGACCCGTAGATCAGCACTCTAGCTACCAGGCTACATCGCCAAAAAAAAAAGTAATTTAAATGCATTCCTAGAAATCAATCATGGTATTATTTTCTTCTTTTTCAAGTCCAGCTAATTAACAACACCTGCTAAACGAGAGTAGTGGTCACTAGCCTGCTTAACCAATCAGAGGTAGTCAAAGCCCTTCCACATTTTCAAACCCTCGTACATCCTATTGTAAGATTGAAACTTGCATATCTTCAAAGTGTTTACAACCGAGAAAATTAACTTTTGTACCTTAAGGTTGAAATTCGCGCCACAATTCCATCCAGTAACTATATAGATATAACTATATACAGATTTCGGAAATCTGCCTGTACAAAGCTAAACAAGTGTTATCGGCGCTAGCCATTCCTAATTTTGAGCTGAAAGGCTAAAAGGAAGGTAACTAATAAAAAGAACAAACCACCAACTCTTTAGCTATTCTAATCGAATAATGAGATTTGACTGTCACTCTTTTGTAAAAAATCCCCAAGTGTCGGATTGTGTTTTTGCTGCAAAAAACGCGAACCACGAACCCTATGATTAACAGCCCGGCAAGCTAGCCACTAGACTACACTTAGTCTGAGTTATTCAGCATCTCAAGAGATTTAAATTATTCATTATTCTTTGTTTTCTAAACCTGTTAAATAATATTAATTTTGTCATATAAATCCAAAAAAGATGACTCTATCGAGAACCAGAAAAAAAATATCTTAAATAGCACGCCTAAATCCACAATGTTCTGGTAATTGTGGGCTTTGAAACTCTGAACTTCAATGGTATGAACACGTGACACATTTAAGAAATAATCACAACACAAGATTCTTTGTAATCTTTATTCAAATCGTATAAATAATAAACTTCAGTATTCTCGTTTGTAACTCATGCCTCCTCCAGTTTTTTCGCTTATTTAGAATTTAATAGTTCTCTTAATTATGTTTCTTTTGAATGGATACATTTTACACTCTATAGCTGTTATTACCTTATGTCTATTCGCTTGTGTCTTGTTTGCTTTCTTCAGTTATCGAACAATGTAGAACAAACGTTTCATAATTAGCAGTTTCGAAGGTGGTTTAAAAAAAGAATCAATTAAATTTTTCACCAGAGATTTATTTTTCTTCTTTTAAATTGTTTGTAATTATGTTCTACAAAACACTATATTAGAGATTAATGTTTCAAGTCTCTAGGAAAATCGTTTTTTCATAAACAAAATTTATGAATATGTTGGATCTATTTCAGTTATATATTATTCTTGGTTCACAAGATTCTCCCAGTCAAAACAACTGAGCTATAATTGGTTGTTTGGATGTTGTATTAAAAGCTTGAACGGAAATAAATGCATGAAGTTTTAATTTGAATATGTGTAGAAAACAACTGATTAGTCTAATACATTGCTTTTGTTCACCAGGAATCATGTAATGCGGTGAAAGGTAACTTATGCCGAACCGATGACGACTGTTCCTGCTTCAACAATGTTCTTCAATGTGTAGCCGCCAGATGTCAACTTCAGCAGCCTCAGGGGCGTAAGTTTGTTTGTTTGTTTGTAATAAAGCTATACAATGGACTATATGTGCTCTGCCCACCACAGGTATCTAAAGCCGGTTTCTAGCGTTGAAAGCCCGCGGAGATACCGCTGTGCCACTGGGGGGCTAGTTTAATTTTGTTTGTTTGTTTGTTCGGAATTTCACGCAAAGCTACTTGAGGGCTATCTGCGCAAGCCACCAATAGTTTAGCAGTGATAGACTAATGATAAGGCAACTAGTCAACAACACCCATCGCCAACTCTTAGGTTACTCTTTTACCAACGAATAGTGGAATTGACTGTCACATTATGACTCCCCCACGACTGACAAAGCGGGACTCGAACCCGCGACCCTCAGTGTACCAGTCAAGTGCCCTAACCACCAGGCCATGCCAAGTCCGTAAATTATATGAATTTATGAAGTAATATTTTTGGTAAGATAAGGCTTAGAAATAAATAATTTTAATTTAGTAAAGAAAATTTTTTAACTGCTCAGGGGTTTCACTTAAATTTACTGAAGGTATAATATTTGCAACTAGTATATGTTTTACAAAATGTTATGAATGATTTTCTTTTAAGAAACTTTCAAAGGGGAAACACGTGGTTAATCTAGAGTATCATTAGCATAACTTAGCTATGATAAGTTGAATGAAAGTAATTCAGGAAAATATGGCTCAGACTTTGTGTGCCGTTTTAATTCTCTGCTTTTAAGTTTGAAATTACTGACAATTAAAGAAAGCAAAGAGTAATTTACTAAAAGTTATTTTTTTCGCGCGAAATACAATCATTAAATTCGACGTAAGTGATATGCAAATGTTACGTAGTTACTATAATGAAAATGTTTGAAATTTGCAAAATAAACTTTGAACAATTTCATTAAAACAAGTACATAACATTTTTTGTAATTTACCGCAAATTTTAGCTGTAATTGCTAATGAACGTTTAGAGATTTCTCACTAGTTCCTATTCATCTTTCTGTCTATTTATCCATCTGTTTTCCTTTTACAATTTATAAGTCCAGATGAATCAAACATTAATATGTTTACGGTTTGTATTTTCGAATTCATAGTGTTAGTTCTTATTCGACCTTACATAAAACGCTATTGTGAAACTAATGCTTCAATTTAGCATAGTATGAATGTGACCTAACGAATAGCATACTTAGACTGTGAATTTGAGGATTCATGGTTCATGGCCCATTGTCGTAAAAACGCGCTCCGCACTATGGATAGTAAATGTATTTATAAGAGTGACGAACAAATCCCACAACTCGATCAGACAAGGAATGCCGGTGGGTGCTGTTTACAGGATGACTTCCCTCTAGTCTCAAAATTAGGGACGGCTAAGCACAGATAGAACTTCCTGTAAAACATATCACTTAACGCA